CGATGGGCTAAATGCTGGAAAAAGGGACGAAATTGTCAATTTTTGCAAATAAATCTTTTTACATAAATCAATTTAAAATAAGATTGGAATCTTTTCACTTAAGACACAAAAGTAGTTGTATTAATTTATTTTGCAGTATTTAATTTTCTTATGATTTGATTTTCTGATCATTTTTGTTAATTTCGTTCCTTTTCCCAGTATCTAGCTCATATAAAGTGCAAACATATCCTCTCATAATAAAATTATCATCAGGCGCGAGTGTTCAGTACATTTTTACCAATCATTTTGTTCATGTGAAATAAGGTATATTCTTGATTTATTTGTTACCAATTTATTTTAATGAATTTCATGATTGTGAGTCCAGTTGGCTATATAGATCAAGCCAATTAATAAAATTATTAGAAACCAATTTTTTGGTTTAACATACTTATCCATTTTAAAGAGTGATTTGAATATTTTTTGGTGTAAAGAACGTTGCATTATGTACTTTTTAATAAAAATACGATGGCCAAATCTATACGTATGAGGTATAGATACCTTATTTTAATTTGTACCATCGAGAGTTTATCAATATGAAGATATAGTAATCTGGAATTTAAGACATGTTATTCATCTCTTATTTGATTTCTTATTTTCATTGATTTAATTTGTGATGATTGTAATGGTAGGTGTATCTGAAAAAGTGCCATAGTTATTCCATAAAAATGTGCAGTCCTGTAATCTCGAACTAATCAGTCTGTTCAGCGAACCAATACAATTTAGTAAAGATTAACAATAAATTATTGTTACCGGTTATTAAAATAATTGGACTTCTATACAAAGTGACAATTGTTCCACAATACGAATTGACTTGGGTCGACAAATTTTATGGAAAGACTATGGTGTCCCATTTGAAAATAAGCTATTTCTTCATGTTGATATAAAATTAATAAGCGTAGTCAAATAAAAAGTTTAGTTGTTCTGTAATTTATCATGATAAGATTATAAAAATTGCCAGATGTTTAAATTGGGGTCGCAATTGTAAAATATAAGCCCTGCTAAAATCTACATATACTCTTTAACAATCAATTCTAATCCTAAACCCTAACCCAACCCTAAAAAAAGCGGAAAAAAACACTACCAAAAATTTTTAAAAATTCATATCAAAATAGGTCCAAATTTCAGCATCAGCCGCGACAATTGTCTTTATTGTAAGTTCGGAAATAGGATTAATCGAATCAGGAATCTTTGTTGAATTGTTGTTTACTAAATTCTGATTGTCTAGTGCTAACGATCGGTCCATTCACATTGTCTATGATATTTTGATATTTGTACAACAGAAAATTATATACTTCTAATCGAAATGCGCATGTTAACTTGATATATTGACTTGTAATATCTTTGAATCTATCCATAATAATAGTTTGTTAAAAAGAATTTATTCATTTTATTCTAATATTATTATGACGTTATTGCATATAATCTATAATTTTAAAACTGAAACTATTAAAAGCTACGCAATAAATTAGGATACGTATCACTTCACCGACACTAACTTTGTAGACACTACACTTCGACCAGCATGTTTATTTTGCAAACATTTAAATCACAGGCTATTAATTCACCGGCATGTTCATTTTACCGACACGTTTATTTTACCGACACTTAATTCACCGGCAAGCTAAATTCACTAAATTGGTCTAATTGTACTATATTCTAACCCTTACTAACCTTAACTTAGGCCGAGTGTTTAGTCATATGATTGGATTCCTTGTTCTTCAAACTACCCGAATTAAACTTGTTGGTGAATTAATTATCAGTGAATTACAGCTGTTCTCATAAAATTTAGGACAAATTAAAAATTTGTTCGCTTCCCGAAATCTCTTCGGCTACGTCCTAAAGGTCATCTAATTCTTCGGAACCACGTCATTGTCTTCGGAACTTCAGTCCGGAAATAGCGATGTATTTTCCGAAGAGTTAGATGAGCCATAGGATGAAATCGAAGAGATTTCGGGAAACGAGCAAATTTTTATTTTGTCTCAGCATTTATGAGAATAGCTGTAAGTGGTGGTGTCGGTAAAATAAACATGTCGATAAATTAATCGTCTACGATTTAAATGTCTGTAAAATAAGCTTGTCGGTGAAGTCTTGTGTCAATAAGAGGAGTGTCGGTGAAGTGAGCGGAACCGATAAAGCATAATTAAAGCTATGCAAATACTTAGTTACGCACCTACTATGACTGGTCATATGCCATAAAATTCATTTGGGACAATTCTACCACATCACTAATACTGACTTGATTTTTTTTGCAAGGATTTAAGATTGAATTCTGAAGGAATTTAATTCCTTAGGCTGTCGACAAATAAATGAGTTATCAAGCAGTTGAAATGATAACAATAAATAAACCACGTTAGTTTAAGGGCCAGGGTTGGATTTATAAATGTTATGAAACTTTTATATTTTTAATAATAAATAAAATTCTAATTACTATTTTGTTATTTAGTTAAATATCAATTCAAAATTTATTATTTTTTTTTAAAAAAAAATCCAAACTCGAAAAAATTTTAATTAACCAATCAAGCTGCAAATCAAAAATATCATTTGCACAATTTAGTAAAGTAGAATGGCAACGTGGTTCAACCGGATATTCGGCCCTAGGTTTTGCCTCGGGCCGATCACAACTGATAATCAGTGATTAACCATTCTGTAAAAACAACTGTCGAAGTTAGCTATCATTTATTATATAAACAGTACAGTCAATACTACGTATTAAAACTTTTATTATTATTATAATATATATATATATATATATATATATATATATATTGTAGCTATTAATATTATTTGTCGCATATGTAAAAAATTGGGTCTAATCTACATATTAAAAAACTATATGCTAATGCCGACAATAAAACGAAGGTAATATTCAAAGGAGTTAAGTAACCGAAAATTGATATTCTAAAATAATTTATGCAGTATAAAATATTTTTTGACATTATATAACATTTGGTAACCCAAAAATTTTTTGATATACTAAATTATTACAACTAGAGCTGTCGAAGTAATTTCGTCCATTTAGATTTACGCCAAGTGCAAAAAAAAAAATTAGGTATCCATGTATAGAAATGCAATACGTACTGTACGTGCGTGCATGGCTTTGTATGTAACACAAAGCATGGGTTGCAGAGGCTGTGACTCCATAAATTTTCGAAGTGGGACTTATTGCTAGAACATTAATTTTAGCGTTCAAAATTATTTTTTGAGAAAGAAATTTTACTACCAGGTAAATAAAACTATCTAAACTATCCATAATTTATTTTCAGTCAAATAATGATAAATTACATGTATATATCTGTAAATAATTAAGTAGGTACGTACTACGTATGTACCTACGTACTGTACCTACCTACTTAAATGACTTCGATGGTTATGCTTGGTTCGTTGGGTTCAGTCTGCATTACAGCATTATGACAATTGGGTATTTCCAGCATTACATAATTTCAACAATACAACATACAGTATTTATGCCATGTCATAATTAACTGTTACATTTACCGTAATTCAATAATACTATCCTAGTTTATACATGGGATTAGGTATTTCGGTTGATATATGCAGAGATTGATAATAAACAAGAGGTGATATTGGGTATTTCTTCGTACTTTCCAAAGAACTTTGATCTGTGAAAATGTTGATAATAACTAAGATTAATGGCATTGATATTAACGGGTCAAACAGTATAAAAAGATTTTTTCTGTTTAACTTCATATATTTAACTATTAAAATTTTTTTTTTTAAAAAAATAAATTTTAAATAATCTATTATTACAGATATTAATATATTATTACAGTTATTAATATATTATTATAGTTATAAGTAATAATATATTATTACAGTTAGTATTAATATATTATTGCAGTTAGTATTAATATATTATTACAGTTAGTATTAATATATTATTGCAGTTAGTATTAATATATTATTACAGTTATTAATAATATATTATTACAGTAATCAGAATAAGTTTATCAAATTATTTTCAATTAAGTTATTTGTTACCTACCTGGTATCGTTTTAACGCTATCTCTGGGTAAGGATATTTCCGGATCGAAGTGTCGTACTATAAAATTAGACCTGCAATCGCCGACCAACAGTTAATCTAAATAATATAAATGTCGAATAAGACAGTTATTAAGCACTATTAAATACCAGGCTACAGCATAATTGCACCTTATTAACATTTGAAACAATCAGATTGCTTTTGTGAATATAAAAATAATTTGATATTTCGTTAATAGCTTATTTACTTATTTACTTATTCACTTGTTTAGGAATATTAACAATTGTTATACAAGTAATTACATATGAAATGCTTTTTAAACAAAATAGAATAAATTTATGGTATAGATCTTAGAGAGTTAATCCGCAAACATTCTGTTTAAAAAGTACGTACCAGGTATTAATTAAGGAAATAAATTTTTGTTTGATCAATATCATTATTCATATAAATCAATGTGCATATATGCACATAATTTTTTTTCTTTTTTTATTTATTTATTTTTTTTTGATGTGCACAAACTTTTAAGATTTGCGTGCAAATTTAATACTGTACATTTTTGTAATCATTTACCGAATGTACATTCATTCTTAAAACCAGTGCAAGAATTTTAAAAAAGTAAGTTCTTTTCAATGACTAAATATTGACGTAATCATCTAGATCATTAAAAACCTGTTAATTTGCTATGTGCAAATCATGATTTAAACCTTATATACCCCCGTATCACATTACCGTCATTTCAAGTTATCGCTATTAAGATTTAACACTGTTTACGTATTTTTTTAACTTAGGGAAAATTTTAATACTTTTTCAACGTTATCTATCAACTTTTACTTACATTTTTAATAAATTTATGTACAAATTACAACTGGTTAAATAGAAAAAAAACTTTAATACCTAATTTTTAATGATAATTTGTTTTCTTTTTTTCTAAATTTTTTTTTTATAGGATTAATTTTGTAAAATGACACAAAGAAAGTTTTGGGCTGCTTTATGCATATTGGATGAAAGAGTCATTGATGGTAGTTCTTATTACTTAATTCAATGGGATGGAAGCGATAAGGGCGGAAATCCTTGGATTCCAACTTGGGTATTAAAGCGATTAAAATTATGTACTATGCTTCTTAGAAAAAAAAAACAATATACATGTAATATTAATCAATTTATTTTATGGATTTCATATATAAAGGAACCCGGAGAAAATTGCACACAAACTTTAATCAACGACTGGAACACGAGAAGACTTGAAACCAAAAAAGGAGATCGATATCATCGTGAAAATTCTTCTGCATCAGATTCAACTGTAACTAATGGATCAGAACTGCGTTGTTCAGATGCTATGGCTTTAGGAGATGAACTACCATTTAAATGCAGCAATAGTTCTAATGAATCTTTAATCGTGAATCAAGATAACCCTAATAGCGTGAGCTATGATCCACAGCAACTACTAAAAAGGACACAGACAGAATTGCAATCTCAAAGTCTTGTTGGCGAGAAGGGAATAATTTATCGTGCCAGTAAGAAAAATCGAACACAAGAATCACTTATTTGTGAAGAAAGTCGCATCTCATCTGATGAAAATAATAAATTTTCATGTCAAAGATCTTTTGCTCAACCAGTTGACACTTTTAAAATACAATCATGCTCTTCACAGACGCAGATAAGCTCACAAGATATATCAACACAAACTGAACCCTTAGTATATCATAATAACTCCGATTTCAGTGATAAAAAAATGCACCCAAATCTGTCTTCTCAAAATCAAACGCCAGTATCTCTTGAGGAATCTTCGCAAAATGTTTCGCCTTTGGCAAACAATGGTACTAAATGTGCCTCTCCAACATCTCCTGGTTTGAATTCAAATCTATCAAATAAGGTAAATGTTAATAATATTGCTAGGCTTAACATATTATATAAATAACAATTAATTAACGTATATGCTTTATTAGGATCCCTTACCTTTTGTGAAAGAACTTCAAAACAAAGCTGATACTATCGCAATTTTGTGTGAAGAACGCGATCACTTCCAAAAAACATTGGCTCAAATCAAAAGGAACTGGCAAATACAGCAAGAAAAGGCTATTAATCTATCTAAAGAGAACGAGAAATTCAAGCAACAACTTCAACAGCAAACTAGAGAATATGAAAAGATACGTTTCCAAAGTTTATGTTATCAACAAAGTATTCAACAATTACAAGAACTTTGTAAATGTAATAGCGAAAAAGATGTTCAGCATAGATTAGAGTTGGAAGAATCAAGGCGAAAATATGAAATTATTCGTAAAAATGACAGTAAAGTAATTGAAGAACTAGAAAAATCGACAAAAATCATGGCCACGGAAAATCTAAAACTTAAGCAGGAGCTCGAAGAAATTAAAACTTTGAAAGCAAGTATGTCATATATGGATAAATCATTCCAAGATTTTATGATCACGGACAATCGGGATTTATTAATCGAAAATTCATTCGATACCGAGAAAATATACTCGTCGACTAATAAGAAGCTACAACAATCATCTGTTGTAAAACCATCCTATGATTATGAAACTTTGTTATCAGAAAATAAACGTTTAGAGTCTGATATAAAAACTTTAAATCTTCAAAGTGTGCTTCAACAACAAAATATGAAATTAATGGAAGAAAAGTTGTTGTATAATGATTCAACATTGCGATTTTTTATGGATCTTCATAAAGTTGGTAAGAAACAATTATTTAAAAAATAGTAAACTTGTTATAATTATGCAATATAAATGTTAATATTTTATTTTTAACATGATACTTTTTATCTGATTTGAATACAAAATAACTTTTGCTATCTCAAATTATTAAAAAGCTATATGATAGTTAATAAGTGTTGGAAATTTATTTGAAAATGAATATTATTATAGTCAATTCTTTACATTACTAATTGTACATTTTTCAAAATTTGATGTTTAGAATTGAATAAATATATTCAAAAGTTATATAAAATGAGTAAGATAAGGTTTTTTTAAGACATTTATTAGTATAGTTGTTGATATTACAATGCAATATTTTTTAAAATCTTGCAATTTTTATTATCAATAATAAAGCAATCATTTAAAATAAGCTATTAGCAACTTTTTTATAGTATATATGTTTATAAAACTTTTTTTTATATTATATACAATTCTGATTGTAGTTAAACTTTTATAAAAAGTATACTAATTTTTATTAGTATATTAAAAATTGTTAATAATAAATAACAATATTTTTTTTATTTTAATACAGTCATACCTTTCTAAATGCAAGTTGTCGGGACCAGCTCTAGAGCGTGTATTTAGGGAGGGTTGCAATTAGAAAAAACTAATAAAATCACAATGTGAATATTATCACGTGATAAAAATGCCTAAAAATAATGAATTTGATTGGCTGGCAATCACGTGGGTACATTTATGGAAGGAGTTTTTATAAGTGGGCCAGACAATTGGTTTGCACTTGCAGAATAAAGAACGTGCATTTATTTATAAGTCCCACCATGGGCCCGGGTTTATGTCATGTATTTAGGGAAAGTGTATTTAAGAAGGTAAGAAGGTCCAACTATATATACAGACTAGAGGTTGGACCCGTTGAGAAAATCTCTACCCGGGTATTATTAAATTACCCGGGTTATCCGGGTAAATTATTATATATCATATAGCACAATTTCTACCCGGGTCCAACCCTAATACAGACAGGCCTCTCTAAATGCATAGTCGTGGAGCGTTCAAAAAAATTTGCATTAGAGAAGTATTGCGTTTAGGGAGGTAAAATTTATAAGTGTTATACAGTGAAACCTCTATAAATACACACCCTCTCTAAATGCACGCTCAACCTCTGGCCAAATACAGTGAAACCTCCATAAATGCACGTTCTCAGGACAGAACTTTAACAACATGCATTTAGAGAACAATAAGAAAAAGTGTATTTATAGGGGTCGTACATATATTTGGGCCAGAGGTTGAGCATGCATTTAGAAAGGGTGTGCATTTATAGAGGGTGTATTTATAGAGGTTTCACTGTATATGCATGACCTCTATAAATTCACTTTTTCTTATTGTTCTTTAAATGCATGTTGTTAAAGTTCTGTTCCAAGAGTGGCATTTATGGAGGTTTCAATGTATGAATTGAAGGTCATGTATTTAGAGAGATTTTTTATAGACTACGCATTTAGAGAATATGGAATTAGAAAGTTCTAATTGTAGTAGTAGTTTAAAGTATTACATTATTTAAATATAAATTATTAAATTAAATAAATCTAATTATAATTATTTATTATAAATTTTATAATAAGGGAGCTCATATAGCCTCTCTTTTTCTCTCTCAGACCCAGGTAATTGGAACTTCTTAAAAACCATTAAACCCTTAGACCCAGATAACTGAAACCCCTAAAAAAAGCGGAAAAAAACACTACCAAAAATTTTTAAAAATTCATATCAAAATAGGTCCAAATTTCAGCATCA